AGAATTGCTCCTTGGTCTTGGAAAAATGTCATGCTTTTATTTATGGCTATGGTCATCACTTTTCTTATTTGGAAGTTGATGTAGGCTTAGTTTCGTAGAAGAGTAGGTGGACTTTGTTGTATGTGGTCAATCAAACAATGAATTTGTTCTAGGTGAACATATGCCATTATTTGACTTTGTTGTATATGGACTTATTATTAGACTTTGCAGTAAACATATTATATATATGAACATATGCTATTAGTAGTTGTTCGCGGCCAAAACTAACCACGATCGTGTCATAGCCATGACTCATCGTCGCCTGTTACCCCGTCGCCGAAGAACAGATCGGTAACAAGAAGCGGCTGATAACGCTGGGACGGGAGAGCCGTATGATCCGACAAACGGTGACGGTGTCAATCAGGTCGGTGAGAACAAGCAGCCATGGACCCCGTCCGGCCTGCTCGATCTGGGTCAAAATGACCAAGATGGCCAGGTAACTTTGGTATCATGTGACTATGTATCCACACACGCTAATCAATTGAGAGGGTCATAGCTTACTTGGTGTCTCTAGCAGGAGCCTCCGCCGGCCGAGGAGCCAGAGGGTTCGGGTAGCAGGAAGGCCAGATCCAAGCGAGGCGTGTCAAAGATTCCTATTGGTAGGAATGCACACTGGCACATTACTGAGTTCGATGAATTTGGGGATCCACTCTCACCGCCTATAGCTTTGACCAAATACAAGACTATCCTTGGGTTATTTGTTAGGGACTTCATCCCGATTAAGTACATGAAGTGGATTGAGAAAGATGATGACCGGTGGAGGGTTCCCGAAAGCGAGAAGGATTACATATGGGATGTCAAGATCCTAGAGTATTTCACTTTTCCAGCTGAGTATGATAGGGAGTTAGTCAAGAAAAAAGCAAAAGAAATCATGGGGACATGCTTCAAGAATTTCAAGGGGACATTGTACAAGAATTTTGTCCTCCAAAATAAAGAGTCAGATTTTGATGGTGGACAGATTAGCAAGCAGAAGGACTTCTGGCATGATTTCAAGGAATACAGGTTATCCGAGGAGTACTTAGAACTGAGCAGGAAGAATAAGGAGAATTCACAAAAAGCGACAAATCCTCATCATCTCGGCTCTCGTGGCTACGCCAAAAAGATGCCAGAATTTGTAGCAGAACTTCAAAAGATGGATCGCCTTGCTAAGGAAGGCATTTAGGTTGAGACCACCGATTGGGAGCCCAAATTGGTATTATATTATATGGGGAGAAATGTACGACACGCCGAGGACAAGAGCTTTAGCTCCTCAAATCAACCCATGAGCGAACTCATCCAAAGGATCTCACAAGTAACTGAGGAGGTGAGGCAAGGGACTCGCACTTCTAATAGGGAGAAAGACGTGTTCACCCAAGCACTCGGAACCAAGGAGCACCCTGGTCGCACTAGAGGAACCGGTGTTGTTCCTTGGAAACTAGCATTCCCCCAAGAATCTAACACTTACCGGAGCCGCTCGAGGGGCAGAACGGAACATGAGGCAGAGTATTTGAGGAGACTAAAAGAGATGGAAGACAAAATGGAAGCATGGATTGAGGCGACCGTTGAAGCGCGAGTCGAGCAAATTTTGCTATCCAAGGGGTCAGTAGTACCACAAAACCCTACTCCTACTGCCTTTAGCCCACAGTTTAGGGGTCGCAGCAGCTGCGGATCGACCCCACTCGATGAAGAAGAGGCGAATGTGCCTCATCCGGTGGACGACATCACTAAACCCGTCAATGTCAGGTTGTACATTCGTCAAGAATGGACAAAGGACAAGGTGGCGCTTGGCCAGGCCTAGCATGCGGGAGACGGGACAATTAATGGCCACCCAATTCCACTAGGGTACGCTCATGTCACCATTGACAGAATACTTGATAAGAAGTATAACAAGATACCCATTGAGTACCCCGTAGCGGAAGACAGGCCAAAACTTTATCAAAACAAGGGCTCTCAAGTGGCCTGGCTCAAGCGCTTCATTAAGCTTGGCCATCAATTGTCCTCTGATGATGAGGACGACTATGAGTCTTCGCCCACCCGCGATGATCACTCACCATCTCCCAACAGAGATCACTCCCCTCCTCATCCGGAGCCATCACCCCCGAAAAGACAGAGCTCTCCTTCTATTCCTCCTCGTCCAACTCCATCTTCATCAGCCCCGAGAAAAGAGACTCCTCCTCCTCCTCCTCCTCCATCTTCATCAGCGCCATGAAAACAGAATTCCCGCTGTCATCCTCCTCCTCCACCTCAGCCCAAAACAAGATCAAGGACATCCTCGTAATCGCAGAAAAGGTCCTTGGATTCGGTCGCTAATGCTCCCAAAGTGGACCAACAGAAAAGAAAAAGGTCGTTCAGTGGCAGCGTTACCATCTTGATGAAAGAAAAAATTACAACACACATCTCGAAGGAAGATTGTGTTAGTTTCCTCAATCTCTGTGCCTCATTGCCTTCGTTTTTGTTGAAGTCCGAATTCGAAAGGCAAACACAGAATAAATACGCTACAACCAGAGACGAAGAAATACACAATAAAGATTTAAAAAACATACAGACGTACGTCAAAGACAACCCAGGATTAACCATGGAAGAGGCCGTGACCATCTATTATGATGTACAAGGGACGGTAACACCGGCAATGAAGTATGAAAGGGGCAATCTTTTGGTCCCGATCATGAGTATAAAAATCTAACAACATATATGCGCCAGTTACATGAATATTATATGGCTCAAGCAACAGAGACGGACGACTTTGGTTTTGAGATTATTATCCATTTGCCACATGTTTTTCATTATCCTGAAGAAGAGAAGTTCGATGTCGAGTGGGAGTGCTTGTTCCAGTTATACCAGAAACGCTCTCTCGATATTCAAAGGTTGACGCTATGGACTATGTAAGTACCTACACGCACGATTTTACAATTAACTACTCTCTCGAGATACAAATTGTTACCTTTTGAGCACTTCCCATGATTTTATGTAGGTGTATAGCAAAATTTTACATTCTAAAAAGCAAATGGGATTACATAGGCTTCTTGGACCCCATGCGAGTCAATGAGAGGATATGTCTAGGCCTCTATGGATGTGATGTGGAAGACCTGAAATAGAGATTGATTGTTGTTTTCGACGAATTCACGATGAAGAAGAAAACCCACATACTTCTAGCCTGCAACTGCGAGTATGTGTTCTCGGTTTTTAATTTTTTGTTTTTTTCGTTAAGATTATTCGATAATTAGGATTCTATGATTGCAGCAACCATTTCATCTTCATTTGTGTTAATCTTACCAAAAATCTGCTCGAGGTGTGGGACTCGAGGAAAAAACCATTTCATCATCTGGATGTACCGGTGGCAGTGCTGAATTAGTAAGCGATCCTAATAATATATTATTTTCTAATCACACATACATCTTTCTAATGTTTCTTCTTTTAATGTTGCTCAGTGTCCGAAGAAGACATATCGGTGGGACGGCGGTCCCATTCAAGGTTGTCGAAATGGAGGGGAAGTACCTATCACAGCCGGCGGAAAACAATGAATGCGGGTTTTTTGTAATGTGGGCAATGCTTCGCTACATCGGCGGAAAATCGAAAAAAACCGATAAGTTGGTGTCTATAATCCCCATTTTATTTATGTCTGTTAATAATTCAACAAAATGATTTACTGTTCATCTTTGGATATCATCTTTTTTCAGCGATAGCGTAAGAAATATAACCACGAAAGGCTGTTAGACATGGAGATCATCGCACTGCAATCGGAGCTGGCAAAATTCATCTTAGCCGAGGTATTGGAAAAAGATGGAGTATTTTCTATTGCATAATCCGTGAAGTACAAGGACCAGTATGGCCTAGAGCGGCTCGCCAGATTATTGTAAGAAGTCCGAGAAGCATGTGTGAAGTTCAAGAACATTTCTTTTTTATTTTGAGGGATCGAGATGTGGATAAGAACATTTGAATTGTAATAGTAACATTTGTAATGTTTGATATTGATGGACCTGTCATCTACGTAGTGTATATAAAGCGAAACCCAATTCTATGAAAAAATATAAATTAAAATAAATTATAAAACAATAAAATACGAACGGGCCATCACCGCCGGTTAGCAACAAACCGGCAGTGTTGTCGTAACCATCACTGCCGGTTATAAACAAACCGACGGTGTTGGCTTGCTCAACACTGCCGGCTTGAACCATGAACCAACACTGATAGTCACGACAACACTGTCGGTTTGATCCATGAACCAACACTGATATTTACTACAACACTGCCGGTTTGATCCATGAACCCACAGTGTAGGCTTGCTCAACACTGCTGGCTTGAGCCAAGAACCGATACTCTTGAAGCAACCGTCACTGTCGGTTGGCACTACAAACCGGCAGTGTTGTTCAACTGGATACTGCCGGGCGGAGCCAGGAACCGACACTGTTTCCTGTAGATCAGTGTTGGTTTTTAAGGACCGGCAGTGATGTCAACCCCATCACTGTCGGTATGCCAATGTCGGTTCAAAATCCGGCAGTGAAGTGGGTTTTTAAAACGGCAGTGATGTCCAAATCTAGGGTAGCGCACATGGATCAAGTAGCATCTTCTCCAAATTATATATAAAAAGAATCCCTAAGTTTAGCTACCAGCTGGATTACCGAGAGAGAGAGAGAGAGAGAGAGAGAGAGTTGAGGTGGATCGATGTGCCTACCGGCTGGCAATGGGAGTGGGGGTGCTGTGTGGGGGGAGTGCTCGTGAGGAGAGAGAGAGAGAGAGAGAGAGAGAGAGAGTTGAGGTGGATCGATGTGCCTACCGGCTGGCAATGGGAGTGGGGGGTGCTCGTGTGGTCATTGAGCAAGCCGTTGTTGGGCATGTACTGGGTGACTAGCATGCGCTCGCCGTCCTCGGTGCAGCGGCCCAGGATGATGTGGTCGTGGCGGAGCGTCGAGAGGATGTGGTGCTCAACGAAGAAGGCGTCATCCGCGCCTTGCCGGCCAGTGTTGAGGCGCATAACGGCCACCTCAGTGCCGTTGTGGAGCTTGCCCCTTGTACACCTTGGTGCCAGAGTCGGCGTCGTCGCTAAGCACGACGGCGAAGTTGTTGGTGGCCACGGCGATCTCCGCGAACCTGAACTCCCGATCCTCAGCTCCTCCCGACTCCTCCTAGGGATCCAAGACAAGATTACAATATAGTGAAGACCATACAGCTAGCAGAGAAAGAGAGAGTTGACTTGACTATGGAAAGATGAGCACCTACCAGGAGGGATTGGGAACAGGAGCTGGGATTTCCATCTAGGCGGCGTGCTATGCCGATGTAGATGATGACAGGAATCAAGGAGAGGTAGGTGTCGATCTTGCGGTGGACGTCCCTGAACCTTTTGGCCTGCCTGGACGCCGAGAGCAGCTGGGACGTGAGCCCCCTCCTCTGGCTCTGGCAGGACATGACGAGGTGGTGCGCCTCCAGGAGCGTGCCGTCCAGCCCGGCCAGCGCCCGGGCCTCCGGGTCCTGCAGGCACGGGATCAGCTCGGCTAGCATGCTGACGCGGCTGAGCTAGGTGCTCGCAGTCCTTGGTGTTCTGCCGAGCCGTCCGCGCCGCCTGCCCGATCATGGAGATGAGGCCGCCGACGTCGAGGCCGATGACCTGCGCCACGGTCGCCGCGCTCTCCAGCCCGTTCTACATCGCAACCGATCACTGATAGCTAGGCAGACTACAGGACTCCAGTCCTAACAGACTCCTATACACCCAGTAAGAATAAGCTTCTATATTTCGTTGACGATGGCGCCGCGTGATAACCGGGTGAACGACACATCAACTTGTTTATCCTTTTTTAATAAGGGAACCAAGTTCCAGCCATCAACTTGTTTATCTCACTACTGGAAACTCGAATATTCCTGTGGGTGATGAATTTTTCTGTGCGTTTTTCTCAATACACACAGAAAAATTAGTCATTAATGTGTTGGTTTCAAAAATCCCGACAGAAAAATACAAAAACTCACAGGAAAATTCAATTATTTTTCTGTGCGTGACAATACACACAGAAAAATTATAATTATTCTGTCAGTTTTGTTGGAACGCACAGAGAAAATAGCAATTATCCTGTCGGTCATATATTACGCATAGAAAAATTCAATCGCACACACCATATTTAGGGTTGGCGCCGCCTTAGCTCCTTTTAGCCCGGTGAATAGCAAATGCATTATATAAAAAAAATAAAAACAAAAAAAATCCTAAACCTGAACCCACACACAGAACCACCCTGCCGCCTCTCTTTTCATTCTCACCCGCATGCCACCAGGCTATGGGTGACCTCTCTCGTCTCCCCAGACCTAGCCCCATCGCCCCTCCCGTGCGCCGCCCTAGATCTGCCTCTTCGCGGCCGGCCCTCTCGGCGCGGCCCCTCCCATGGCACTGCCCTAGGTTCACCTCTCCGCGGCTGGCCCTCTCGGCGTGGCCCCTCCTGTGCGCCGCCAGCCACCACCCCAGCCCGCCGACGAACATCGCCCCTTCCAGCACGGCCCCTCCCATGTGCTTCCCCAGGCCCGCTGCCGGTCGAGGCCTGTGCCAGATCTGCCAGCGACGCACCTGCACGCGACCTCCCTGTGCCAGATCCGCCAGCGGTCTGCACGCGGCCCGTCCTAGCGCCGCCAGGTATGCTTGTCGCTTCTGTTCCCTTCCTTCGTGCAAAACTGAACACAAACCCCAATTTAAGCTATTTGGTTATTCTGTATTCGGAACGGATCTAATCCAACCCCAAGTGTAAGGTGATGTACTTTAATCCTCTACTCTAGTGTAAAAGATGATGTGTTATTCCTGATTTAGCTTACTAGTAAAGTAATATATTATAAAAATTGCTTTACTCAATCCGTTCAATTATGACTATCTATGCTTAATAGATGTCCTGGAATATGATTATCTATGATTAAATATGAGTTGTTGTCCCGCATGCCTTTCTGGATAATCTAGAATTGATGTGTAGCTTGACCAGAAAAAGATTAATGCCTTTCTGAATAATCTGGAGTTCTTGTGTTAAGTGAAACAGAATAGCTAAAATTAATGAACAAGTCAGCATTGATGGTTTGACTCTCTGAACACATTAGTATTTGAGATTATTTCTCCTTTTTGTTATGCTGTGTAACACAAAGACTTTTTGAGGCTTTGTCGATGTTTTACCACCGATAGCCTACTACGGGGGTACCCGGGACAGTTGTTCGGGCTTCGGTGAATAGCGGAATTTGGCGGTTACGCAAAGAGACTCACGATTTATACTGGTTCAGGCCCTCGACTTGGTCGAGTAATAACGTTACATCCAGTTTTGGCGTTAGCCTATTTGCGTTGTATTGCTTTGAGTATCGGGTATGTGTTCTCCCTTTACAATGGATACCCTCACCAGCCATTTATAGTCCAGGCGCTGAGAGGCGTTGTTTGTGCCTATTCGGATACAAGATCAGAGTCCTAAGCTACGCTTCGGGCGCTTTTCCTTGTATAGTTTGCGTTGGAGTTTTGGTTTTGCACGTTGCTTTGCTCCGCGTTCTTCTTGGTGATTGGGCTGTAGGCCTTGCTACCAAGGCCTACCTCCCTACAGTATGGTCTATGGGGGGCCCGTAGGGTTCCCCATCGACAAGCCCCTGAGCATTTTATGATTGAGCTTCAAGGATCGAGTTGGTGTAGTCTTGATCCGGGTCCTTTTTGAAGTGAAATCTTGAGATGGTTTTCTTTGATTCTTCTTTTGGCTGATGTGCACTTTTGCTTGACGTCCTCCGGGTTCTTTTTTCTTTGAGTGCAAAATTGCACTCATTGAGTGTAGCCCCCGAGCCTTCTGTTTTTTGGTACAAAAAGCTGGAGGGTCAAAAATTTTGAAAACATGTTTTTCTGTGGTAGGTACTTACAGCCCCCGAGCCTTCTCCGGGTTCTTTTTTGAAAAGAAGCCGGAAGAAGGGTCTTGATTTGTACTCCTTTGATCTTTGTCTTTTGCTGGTCACGGATGGGTCTTGTATGGCCATGAGTGAGCGTCTTCTTTTACTTTTTGTCATTAATCTTGCTTTTGGATACTATTCGTCTTTTTTGCTTTGCTCTTTTGTTCTTTTCTCTCTCTTTCTTGTGATCTTTAGCCTTGTTTACTTCTGGTTTGCTATAAATACCTTCTTTGTTGGTTGTGGTTCTGCCTTGAGTAGGAAAATTCTTCTTCAATTCTTTCTTCATTCGTAGATATGCTGGTGTGTGAGGTTGAGCAGCCCCCGGGCTTATGCTTGGTTGGTAATGATCATGCTGATTTATCTGTTCTTCTACGTCTGAGCTGCCATTGCTGCCGCCACTATGTTCCTTGTTGCAATATTTAAGAATTTTGTCTCTATCTTATGTTTGAGTTTATCCGGTCCTGTTTGGCCGTCTATAACCTTTGTATTTGTCTTCGATCAATGAGATTTATAATTTTTCTCCGTCTGAGTTCTTTTTCAACTGTAATCCTTTGACACTGTAATTTTGTATGTGATCCTTCATACATCTCCGAGTTGTTTGTTCGGTTACTTATTGTTGTTGTCATTCTGGTTGTTGGAGAATTCAATGCATGTCTTCACGGGTTGTATTGTTGCTTGTGGAATATTCTCTTAGATATGCTTGTCCTTGAGTGTCGTTCTTTCACGCCAGAGTCTTGTTTCATTGAATTCTGTCTTTTCATTGTGTCCTTTGTAAGATTTCTTCTGTTGGCGCTCCTAGTCCATGTGCACCGCTTCTTTTGCCTATAAATGCCCTTCCGGAGTACTGTTTTGATTCATCGAGCCTTTTGTTGCCTATTCTGAAGTCTCTGTAGTTATGAATATGATAGTGTGTGAAGTAGAGCAGCCCCCGGGCGTATTTTGTAGTTCTTGTACATTTTGTTGTAGCTGGAGGAAGTCTTGTGATAGGGATTAGAGGTAGACTAATCCCGCAGCGGCATTATACTTGGAAGTACGTGGTGATAGTTGGAGGAAGTCTTGTGATGTGGGCTTCGTTCCTTCATCCGGCAGTTCTAGGTTGATACTCGTCGTCTGTCTTGAGACTGTCCGGTGCAGATCAACACCTGATCCTACATCACGTCGGGCTTGGGTAGACAGATGCCTGCCAACTTCCCCTGGTCTATGTTGTCCCGCCGTGCTGCTGATTTCCGCCTTAGATGCACTACGTCCGTCCTTTGAAAAAAAACAGTGTAGCCGAGCGCGGTTTGTTCTACCGAGTAACAAATTGGAGCACGTAGTCGTTCCAGAGCCTAGTTGTGTCCGGGCTCCTTTTTGCTACCTTGCTTTTCGTAGTGCCGAGTTCATTGGGTCTTGTAAGATGTGTAATCTTCTATTTTTGAAGCCATTTGTAATGGAAAGAATCTTGTCTTCTGAGTTGTCATTCATTTTTCTGCTGTAATCCTGGTTATTCATGAGGCTCCCGAGTTCTTTCTTTAATAACCGGGTTCTTTTGTTCCTTGCGAGTTGGCCCTTCGTTTCTTCATGGTTGACGGGTTGTTCTTGTAGTAATCTGAAAATTCTACCGTGGTGCTGGATGGATAAGTCTGCAATCTGCCCGTTGGATCGTACCATTGTGTAGATTTGTGCCTTCCGTCATTTTAGCTGTGTCAATAAATGGATCATCGCGTGGTTGACGGTAGAAGCCGAATCGCCATATTGGTTTTGATGAAGGAATTAACTCCGCCCTTAACTTTTTATGAAGAAAGTTTTAACTCCATCCTTATCTCGAGGAGGCTGTTGAATTGCCTGGGATGGCGATTTGGTCTCTATTTAACTGGCCACTCCGCAATTGTTTCGCCATAGCCACAATGATGAAGAAGAAGTTCATCCAAAGGTAGAGTGTCTGTAAGGTGTCGCGTTCTTCGTTTGTTCGCTCTCCGAGGACAATCGTGGCGGAGTCGTCGAGCGGAAGGTCTTCGTCGTCGCCTTCATTGCTAGCTCCTCCGGTGGTGGGGAAGGCTCCCCTTGTTGGGACATCAGCGCCGATTGTCCCTCTGCAGAAGAAGGAGGATCCCTTGGCTGCTCCTGTGGTCACTCTTGTCCCCCTCTCTGCTGCTGATGCTACTTCGACGAGGGTGGATTTGATCATCCTTAGTAGTGACAGTGAAGATGAGGTTGATTGGGAGGCGCTCGCCGCTGAAGACGAAGTCGATTGGGGCGCCCTTGCTGTCGAAGATGACAATGATGTCGAATCTGTGGGTAGCGGGTCTCCGGCGAGGAACTAATGATGGCTGAATGCGTTGTCATTAGCCCTCGCTTTGATGTTGGCGTAAAGGATATCGAAGGGCAGATTGTCCGATCGTAGATTTATCTTGGTGATTTGATGTATGTAGTAGTCGTGTTCTTCTATAATCATCATAAACTTTGTTTCCCCAATTTCTCTTTTCCTTTTCTTTTGATGTGGCTTCTTTTGTTTCTCTGTGTGAATGTCTCTGCTTTACTTATTCGTCAGACGAATTGTGTGAGTGATCAGGATTTCTTCCGAGCAGTTGCTTCGTGGTGCGTATCCGTAGATTTGAGTAGACGAGTTGTTTCCATTTGTCGTGAAATGACTCTTCGATAGGTGGAGTGCTTCATCTGACTTTCGTTTGTGCCATGTAAACAACTCAGTATGTGTAGAACGTCGTCTTGAGAGACTGTCTTCGAGTGCTTTGTCTGGCTCTCGTGCAAACAACTCGGTATAAATTCTTGTTTTGTCAGACTTCATGTTCTTGCTAGTACTGATAAGACTTAGGATCGGCGATCTTTGAGATTGATAAGCCTCTGAGTACTTCATGGTGGAGTTCTAGGAATTTCTTCTTGTTCCTTCAGGTCTTTGCCGAGCAGGGATTACCGGTGCTTTTTTCTCGGTTTTATGATTTTGTGAAGGGTGGCTTTTACCGGTGCATCAACAATGTGGTTTCGTATGTCCGGGTTGTTGCCCCTGATGCTCCTTTTGAGCGGATTACTGAAGCTTTTGCAATGGCTGAGTTTTCAAGACACTGGGAGGAGGCCAAAGTATAGCTTAGTGATCTATCAGACCAAATTCTTGATCAAATGAATGTACTTCCTCCTTCTCTTCTGTCTTCTTGAACAGATGTGAAAAGTCAACCTTCTTTTGATGTCCTTGTAATATACTTTGTCTCTAAAAATATGATCAGGCTTTTCCCTGCTTTTGAATTTGTCTTTGACTGAAATGAGCAGGCTTCGACCTGTCTTTCTTTTTCTTCTGAGATGTCTTTGAATAATATGGAAAAGTTTCGCCCTGTCTTTCCTTGTGACTTTTTCGTGCTCTGCCACAGCTTGTTTCTTCTTGGTGATCGCTCTTAGGGTAGGCAATCGAGTTGTTGGAGTGTTTGTGCCCCTCCTTGGGCGACGTAGTCGATCGTACCACTCTTGGGGTGGGCGACCGAGTTGTTAGAGTGCTTGTGCTCTTCTCTGGTCGAAGTAGTCGATCATACCGCTCTTGGGGTAGGCGATCGAGTTGTTGGGGTGATTGTGTCCCTCTCTGGGTGAAGTAGTTGATCGTACCACTCTTGGGGTAGGCGACCGAGC